GAGTGACGGCTGAATATTGCAAAGTATCAGAGGCCAGTATTGTACACCATTAGCTTGTTGTTTCCCTGTGCTAGTTTTAATTAGATCTAACAAAAGTGGATAGTGAGTCAGCTAATGGCCTTGACCCAAGGTGAGCTGAACTGCAGAGAGAAATAAAGCCTTAGTAAATACAGACTGTTTCATTTTAGTTTGTATAAACAACAAGGTTGAAATAGCATGAAAGTAATTTTAAGACTGATGTTATTAGCTACATATTCTGTCTTTGTCTCTTTCAGTTATGGTCGATAACTGTTTGAAAAAGGAGGTTTTCACAGTACTCTGAAGTCCTGTGAGACGTTAAATACACCCTTACTCCAGGAATTAAGGGGGAAACTAGCAGCCAAGTGCTGCTGATCAAATGCACTTGAAGTGTGAGCACCTCTACAAAAGCAGAGGTTTTAACAGTCTGCAAGTCTGAACTATTCAGGTGTGTTAACAGTTAACAGTTAGCAATGACGCTAAAGGAGCCACTTTTGGCGCCCATCAATCTGAAAAGGGTTATAAGGCCATTAATCACAAATATAAAACATTCAAGGCTGTTATCCTCCAACGTCAGACCGTGCAATGTTAAGAGAAACTGCAAAATACCCCTATAGGTCTCAGTTAACATATTCAATGTTAAACTTCGTGACAGCAAAATTAGAAAAAGATGTTGGTCCATAATGCTCAAAACCTAACACAGCATACAAGCACAAGCACCCCATCAACTGGAATCACCGACGATGGTCTGAGAACAATGAATAAATAAACAATGTAAACAATGGGAACAATATAAATAAATAAAATGAGTGTGTCTGATACAGGAATAAACTGTAAATGTGGTTTCTTACATCCATTTTTTTTTTTCAGAAAAGCGTGAAGTAAAACTAATGAGACACTTCTATTACGTCGTAGCTCTCCTTGGGGACCTTATTACCGTATATAAATGTAATACATTTCTGTGACTGAGTGGCATAGTTTGGATCTCGGGAACATGGCTGTAATTGTGTGACTTTATTTTCGTTGCAATTGAGCCCTTCACACACGCATAGAGAAAATAAGGGTAAGCAGTCCTTTCAGTTTGACAAATGAGTATAAAGTCCTAGAGCTGATGTACAGCCGCTTCAGCCTGCACAGAAGGCAGGTGCATTGCATTCATGTTTTATGTATAACATATTTATCAACACTCGCCCCCTCAATACTTTTGTACTGCAAAAACTGTTAAAAATATTCTGCCAGAAAAGCCCTTGATACCCATAGAGCAGACTTAATTTTACCAGGTATGGTGATCGTTGCTCTGCTGCGATTATGGCGAAGCTTTCAGAGGTCACCGTACTACAGGCTACTGCAGTTCAGAAGTTTGGATTTAAAAATGCAACAAGCAGTATTATATATATATCCAGTATTTGTGTGGAGAGCGTCAGCATGCATAGTCCACACATGCAGAGAGAAATCAGCACAGCAAAGGCCCATCGTGTGCGTCTAAGACAGCAAAGCAGACTGCAGATGGGATGAAACGTAGCACAGCTGCCATTTTCACCTGGATATGACACTCCATGACTGCCTCAGGCTTAGATTTATTCCCTGCTAAAACGCAGCAGTGAAGTGTAAAAGATGTGTGAGGATGCCCGAAGGAAGACCGCAAGACTTCCAGCTCTTGTTGGCATTTGAGCCGATTTAGGAATTCTAGCATTTGAGTTAGGGATGAGTATAGTGGGATAGCTGCAGTCCAGCCTGAAAACTGTAGATGTACAGCCTCTCTTAGTTCAGATCCACAACATATGGTAATGTTATATTGTTAAGAATTCCCCGTGATGCATTTTGTTTTGCACATCAGGAGACTGCACGGAGATCACGGTCCACTTAACATCGACGGATCCTCTGCGGAAGTCGTCAAGAGCACCAACTTGGTGTTCGCCTGGCGGACAGCCTCTCCCGGTCCCTGAATACCAGCTCCATAACTAAGAAGTCCCAACAGCGTCTCTACTTCCTGCAGAAGCTGAGAAAAAAACATCTCCCAACACCCATTCTCACCACAGAGGGACTATCAAGAGCTTCATGAGCAGCTGCATCGCTGCCTGGTATGGTAACTGCACCATATCAGATCGCAATACCCTACAACGGATAGTGAGAACAGCTCAGAAGATCATTGGAGCCTCTCTTCCCTCCATCACAGACACTTATCGCTTAAAAAAGAACAAAAATAATTTTGAATTAATATCAGTAGAATAAAGTAGAATAAAGGACAAAAACAACTATCTGGAGTGCTGCCCATCTTCATCTTACACTGGGGTACCTTCTGGTGCAAGAAAAAAAAAAGATTTTCTTTGTCATTTCTTTTCAGAGATGAAAAACATCATCTAAGATTTAAAGAGCACGAGCTTCATTCTGCACTCAGCATGGACTGAAAATTCAAGCTCTGTTGTAGTTTCAGCCACCTGGCACACCATCCCTCTCCCCTCAGTCTCACTGTAGAACAACAGTGTAGCAGCTGTTGCTCAGTTAGGCTGGGCTGGTGGTTGGCTAGAGTTTATGATTTAATGTGCTGCTCATTTGTTTTCTCCTGGAACAACATACTAAACCCCAAATTGCTTCCCTTTGTTCCTACATGGAGACCTCTGCTCTCTGATGGTTGTCATTTTGGGAATACAGGAAGCTGAACTGGAACAGGATAGTTGAGGACCAACATGGATTTAACACTTATTTACCAGGTCTATTTATAAACTGTAAGAGAGCCAGAGAGTTAGTTCCCCATTTTCAGAAACTCAGGATCTAATTGAACAAACAGACATAATTTTAAATATAGGAATTATTTGTTAGTCTTGAATTCAGTTAGTGACTGAAGTCTAGATCCCATGGACACCAAATACTGTTTCCTCCTGCACTGCCAGGCCTTTACAGCAGCTACCTTAGTTACTGCTTGATTGCGTGTCTTTCTACTGTATTTTATATTTAATAACTGAAAAGCTGCTCTCTCAGCTCCACGTTAGGTTGGGGATTGAAGAACATCACTTTTCTTCGCCTTGAGAAACTCTTGGGTTGCATTTGCTTTATGCTTTGGGTCTTTATTTTTTGCACTGTGTCAGATAGTTTTACAGCGTTTATTTGAATCTGAGCAGAGAGTACAGCATGGTACACTTCACATTTCATCTCACTACTATTATCAAATCATCACTCCATTAAATGGCTGCCTTCTGATGTACCTGGGGTTCTGTTAGATCTCAGAAAAACTGCTTTTATTACTAGACATCTTGGACATGGAATAATTTACAGAAAGACCGAAATTTAAACATGCCTCTATCCATTGGTGAATTTAGAAGCATAATGAGGAATGCAGTGAAAGATTTGTGGATGTTTCTTTTGACAAATCACTTAATGATTTAGCATTTTATGTTATGGGTATTTTTATATTGTGTTTTAAGCTGTGGTTTTATATTTTATGTTGCATTTGTAGCATTTTTAGACGCTTTAGGTTGTATGGCTGCAACCTCAGTCAGGGCTATCTCGTAAAAGATAATGTGATCTCAGTGGGACTTCCTGGCAAAATAAAGGTAATAATAATAATAAACAGTAGTGGCTATACATCCTTATAGTATAATATTGGCTCCAGCAATGATATGTTATTGCTTTTCATGTTTCTCTCCTTGCCCAGACTTTTCTATTCCCATCATTCTAGTACAAGATTTTTATGTATGTTCAGAAACCTGCAGGCTCTTTTAGATGTCTCCTGGCAAAGTGTAATGGGACCTCCCTGAGTGTAGCTAGTGGTTTGTATTTCATTGTTCTCTGTATTTGAAAAACACTTTTGCAGAACCTTTAGTAAATTATAGAGCTTGACAATGATACACTCTCTCCTCAGCAGTGATCTTATCTTGGTCAGATAATTGTCAACTATGGAAAAAATTCTGTCTTCATCCACTTTACCTCCTTTGGTTTTTGAGTCTTTTGGTGTTGCTCAGCTCGCCATTCCTTCTTTTTACGAACGAACTAAATTATTGATTTGGCCCTCCTAAAGCCTTTTGTATCTCTGGTAGCTTCTTGTTCTCGTCAAATTCAGAAATTACAACGAAAAACTGTAAAATACAAACTCGACACTTTAACTTCAGATTTGATTTCTGCTTCATTTGTCATGAAATAAAAAGGGTAGTTTCATGGCCTCATCGGGCCATGAAACTGCAATCAATGGTCCAATAAATAATGTGCCTCAAAAATGGGAGACTGTGTATAAAAACTACTGTAATTTTCAAACATTTAATGCACAGTTGTTGTAATAATTAAAGATGAAAACCTGCACTTCAACCACTTCGTGTCTATTTGATTTAAAATCGATTACAGGGCCAAACAAATATAGAACTAGCTGTAGATGCAAGGACGGCCTCGTACAAAAACCACTTGTCTTTGCAGATCTCTACAACTCTGCAGAGTTTTACTGTCCTTCGGCACATTGTTTTGGCTTTATGGTCAGAAATATTTTCTGCTTTCATTCATTCTCACTGCTAGTTTCAAGTAGCAGCTCTAGCAACTGTTTACAAGTAGGCTCTGGTAAATCCACTGCAGAACACCTGCCTACTGTTTAATGAGAGACCCCTGGCAAGGTGGTGGAGGACAAAAACGGAGCTAAAAGTAGAATTTTTATAGATATTTCTATTAGCTGGGCGGAAATAGCCTACAGTAAATTAGATGTTGTTTACTACATCATAACAAGTTTAGGGTATTGCCGAGGAAAGCGAGAATATAGTTTAAATACATGAAAATAAAATAAATAAATAAAAATCTTAATCAAACACAAACTGAATAAATCAAATAGTAAAATATTGTAGTAGAAACGAATAATTTTGAAATGTGCTGAAATGTATTTCATCATTCATACATTTCAATTCAGCTGAGGTGGGCTGAATTTCTAAGCAGCTGACTCTTTTCCGTTTTTATACACGGAACGTGAATGCAGCGCAAAACTGCCCGAGTACGAGAGCGAGAGAGAGAGAGTGCAGATGAGCCCCAATGATCAGAAGCCGGGTCTTCTTTCAAACACACACACTCATACGCACACTTCGCTCTACATCCCTCACACACAAATGCCAGCACACTCACACAAACGCGATCCAGTAACCACAGCTCCATCAGTCCATCCCGCTCGCCGCTGCTAGTGGCTGCCTTCGCCGACGCGCAGAGCTGTGGCAGGAGCTCCTGCTGGCTCTGTAGCACAAAGCAGAGGTGAAGGGGAATCGGGGGACTCCATTTGGGAGGCGAAAGATAATTCCGCGGCATTGCTGGGAGGAGCAGAGAACGGTGAGGGAAGGTGAGTGAATGCACTTCGGTCCAGCTGCTGCTGCTGCTGCTGCGGGAAGAGGAGGAGGAAGAAGAAGCCCAGCATCTGGAGAAGCTGGAGGACCAACACTGTAACATCATCCTGCACAGACTCGGAGGAGACGGCCAGCGGAGACCAGGGTACCTCCAGGCTCAGATGTGGAGGGAGAGCCGGTCAACTTGTACTCCTGGGTGAGTCAAGTGCCCATCTTTTCTCGCAATCAAACAAACACTTTTCCACACTCCTCTGTGATCCATTAATGTGCCACAAAACGAGACCGTGCACATGGCGTTTATCATTTGTGTCCCTCTTCTTTGCTGCATGTGTCTTTCACTCGTTCTTCCACTTTGCTATATTCAACTCTCACCTTAACAGACAACCTGATGAGCCCAAGGCTGCACCTGTAATCATCCACACATCCCATCCCCTCAGACACTTCTCACTCTGTTATGGTGCATTCCCAGCTGATTGATTTGCTCTCTAACTCAGTTGGACATCAGGTCTCATTATCTCGTGCTTTTCTATTGTCAACCTCGGGATGGTGTGCTAGTGCAACCATGCAAGCAGAGCCACTGTGTGTGTATGTGTGTGTCATTGGTTACCATTTGTCAATTAGGTTTTGATGATCTAAACGAGGGAAGGGGGGAGGCAGTCTTTGATCGATCCCTGCAGTTGTCTCGGTGTGAGAGGCTCGGTGCCTGTCCTCCGCCTGGCATGTCTTAAACCCTCTGTCGGTGTTTGCTCAGCCCTCTCCCAGCTCTGTTTTTACTGCGCCTCTGCTCTGTTCTTAGTGCAGTCTCTGGAAGACGGATGATTATTTTAGGAAAATTCTGAATATAGTTTTGCTTTAATCTCTTTCTTCCTCTGGTCCAACAGTGCTTGCATACATACTGTAACTGGCTGCTTTGTTGCTGAAATTGCACATTTGATGTGTTTCTGTTTTTAAGATAGTACACGAGGGAATTGTAATTCCTGTGAGTTTGATCATCTGAGTATTTTGGGGGTCACTTGTTGACAAAGGAGGATAATGAGATGCAACAAAGGTCCCTGAAAGTACTCGAGTCCAAGTCTGTCGGACTACCCTGTTTTTATACCGTGACATTCACATCTCTCAGCCACAGGCTGAAAGGGCCAGTCTCAGACTGACTGACATTGATTCAGT